GAGCTTAAAAATAATAATTTTAAGTATAAAAACTATTTTTATAACAAATATAAATTTGAGAACTAAAAGATAAAAAAAATATAGTTAGAGGACTAATTATTCTCTAACGTAATAAGAAGTTTTCCGTTATCTTTAACCAAGTAGACGAAATTGAAATGAATCTGAAAATTAATAGATCACCTAGAAATAAAACATAGTTTTTAGACTAAAATGAAATTAAGGTAATAGTTAATAGACTAAAAATTGAATTAAGCCATTTTTATTTTAATTTTAACTTTTGTTTCTTTTTCTTTTTGTTTTTTCAATCACTTTTGAAAAAGCTTTGTATGTGGGAATTGTGTGAGGCTGTGGTAATTATGAAAAGAGAAAGCTTACTTTTGTTTGGTTGTTTAATGTTTATGGCTTGGCTTTGTGTGTGTGATTGTTTTTTTTTTTTTTTTTGATATTAAGGCTTGGGGACTACATCTAGACCTTAATATTAACTACTATGAAAATGATTACTAATCTATAGTCACCAATTAACTATATAGTCACCAAATCTTTAGATAATTCCAACATTTATTACACAACAATCTCAAAAATAACTTTAACTGGGAATCTAACATTAAAGGCTCTGTTAAATCATTTAACGGTTTTAAACAATCTATAATTAAAGATCAATAGAAAGTTATAATTAATTGATCGTGAGTATTCAATAATAGATATTTGTCATTGTTTATAGACTAAATACTATCAATTATTAGCACTTGGACCTTTCGGTCAAGTAACGTCACGTATAAGTGCATTTTCCTACTTCAGGTAATGGTTTGAATCCAACCCCTTGCGAATTTGTTAAAAAAAAAAAGACTATCAATTATTAGATATAGTTATGATTATTTATTATTTTATTAAAATTATTTAATTTTATTTAATTGAATTGTTAAAAATAATTAACAATTAATAAAATAATTAATATTCATTGTTTAACATATTAAAATTATTTTATAAATTAATATTTTTAAATATTATAATTAAATTTTGAAAAAAATATAAATAGATCAGATATTAATCAAACTAAATAATTATTAAATAAACTTAACAAAATAATAAATAATCATAACAATACTTTTAGCTATTACATATTTTTTTTGAACAAGTACAATTTAAAAAAAAAAAGTTTAAACTCTTTTTTATTATCTTGGTTGCACAATACTTTCATTCTTTATTTTACTCCACCTGTAAATTATGTAATTTAAACTCAATATCTTTTATTTTTAATAAAAAAAATTATTAAATTATTTAAATCGATGATAAAAAAAATTTAAACTTAATTCATGAACCTGATGAGTGCATCTCCAACGTAAACTATTACGTATTAAGAATTACTATCAGCATCAATTTCTCAATTTAATTGTTAAGTTGTGCATATATGCTGTTCATTTTTTTATTAGAATCTACATTTGTGCTTTTCTTTTAACTTTTTTTCATGATAATTTCTTATTAAATAAAAAATAATAAAATAAAATCTTCATTACAAAAGTTATCACGTTGGTTACTTTCCAACCGATAACTTTCCGAACAAAAACATCCGGAAAGAAGGGAAGCGTCAAACCAAATAGACCCTTGGGGGAAAAGGGCAAATATTCATGGATTACCTGCCCCAAATGGGAAAACCAAGGACCATACCAAAACTTCGTTGCTTGGTGAATTCTTTTGAAAGGAAATGTGAATGACAACTCAAAAGCAGAATTGATCAGAAAACGAATGTCAGTAAAAGTTTCATCTCATGTCGTAAATAAAGTTTTAATGCAAAAAGGGAAAAAAAGGTTTCAATGAAAATGGAGTAATATGAATGTCGGTATTATCCTTTATAATGTAATTGAGTTAAAGAAAATTAAGGGAAAAGAAAAAAAGAATTTATTTAATTGTTAAAAAAATTAAAGGATGATTTTATTTTATTTTTTATTTATATATTTATTCAAATAAAAGAAAGGGAATAGAGGGGAGGAACTCTCCTTTCATTTTTTTATCTTAAATATACTATTAAAAAATGATTTTAATAAATTATGCTTATTATAAAACTAAACAAGTGAAATATATTATTCATAGTTTGCCGATATAAATATAAATTTTTATATAATTATTATATATTATTAAATAAATACATTTAATATTATATGTTTTAAATAAAAATAAAAATAATTTAAATAACATATAAAATTATTAAAAAAATAATATAAAATTTTTTTCTCTTAATCATTTTTCCTTATTCAAATTATACAAAGATGTTAACAACTATCAAAAAACATTTTAACTTCAAACATAGAGGAATGTATAAATATATATGTTAATGCATCTATTATTATATGTTTGAGTTGAAAGAAACAAAAGGTAATGGAGGGTAAGGAAAGGGAGGGAAGGAGAATTGTCTTCTTCTATTCCCTTCCCTTCCTCTTCTCTCATTTTAATAAATAAATAAAAATAAAGTAGAAGACTTTTTTCTCTCTCCTCCTCTCTAATATTTTTTGATAGCTACATAAAAAAAAAAAAAAATTTTTCTCCTCACCTTCTTTTTTCTCCGTTTCACTGAATCCGAATATATTGAAAGTCCTATAGATTCCATGGCTTTGTATCCATACCCTTAATTGATCTTCTAGTTCTTTTAACATGTGGGATGAAAATGAAACAAATAAAAGACTTAGGATTCTCTTTCTCTTAATGTGACCAGCATATGGGGTTGCAAAAGGGAAACTGGTTGCGGAATCAAAAACATTAGAAATTCATATTTATAATATTATATACACTTATCATGTTTTTTTTTCTTTTTGTAAATTTGATAATACATTATAGAAAAAAATAATAATTTTTTTAAATTCATTATTACTTAATTTAAAATTCAAATCTAAAATAAATTAATTAATATATTATAATATCATAAATATACTTTAAATAAAAGAATCCATCTTATAATGATGCATAATGATACATAGTAATAAATTTACAATCTTAGCTAGAGTTAGCTAGTATTGTACAGGGAGAATAAAAGAAGTTCATAGTCAACAAATTTAGGAACAACATCAATCAATAGCCCGCTGACTAGACCCCATATATAGGCTAACAAATTGCATGGGATTCTCTTATCTTATTGGAGGGTAGAGTGCACCACCACATTGCTGCAAAATCCCGGACCCCATCACCATTGTTTCTTGTCAGACCGCACCACTACAGAAATTTTTTTAATCAAAATTTTACATAATTTATCAACTTTATTTCATAAATTTTATGGCTGACATAATGTTTGTACAAAATATATGATCATTATCACAATCAAACACTAATTAATTATGTGAGGCTTAAAAGTCATGAAATTAGATCAAATCCCTATTTTCAAATACAAAATCAAAAGTAACCTTTTTCTTTGGGCCCATTTTGTATTCCAGTTCATTGCTTCACGTATTGAAAACTAGCCCATTCTTAAATGCTTAATTGAGCCATGGGCTCTTAAACCACACATCACATTCTTCTCTCCAGAGTCCAAACACCAAAAACCCCAATTCCCCATGGTCCCTGCAGAATCCCTCGTCTCAGAAACAGCTTCTCCTCCTCCTCCTCCAAATACTCATCTTCAGGTAAGCATCAAATACTTGTCTTTGAGCTTAATTTTTCATTTTAATTCTCGGTTTTAGTTGTTTTGTTAATCTGTTTCTTAATCTTATCTGGGTGAAGATGCTAATTAGATTATTTTTCCAGTTTTTTTTTTTTTTTCCTGTTAAAAATATATATATTACCAAGATAGCAAAAGCAGATAGTAACTGAGAGGAAACAAGATGAATAAAAATGAGATATTCAAGCTGGCAAAGGGGTTCAGGGGAAGGGCAAAGAATTGCATAAAGATAGCAAGAGAAAGGGTTGAAAAGGCCTTGCAGTATTCCTACAGAGATCGTCGCAACAAGAAGCGTGACATGCGCGCCCTTTGGATCCCGCGCATCAATGCTGGCACCTGCCAACATGGGGTAATCTCCCTTTTTTTCCTTTTTTTTTTTTTTTTTTTGTGGTTATCGTTTCAAATCTTCAACGTTTCTGTTTTGCTTTCTTAATGGAAAGTTCTTATGTTCTTTTTCATTTTGTATTTTCTTGAATTTTCTTGAGTAGGTTAACTACGGCAACTTTATGCATGGACTGATGAAGGAGAACATCCAACTGAACAGGAAAGTTCTGTCCGAACTGTCTATGCATGAACCTTATAGTTTCAAGGCTCTAGTAAACATTTCTCGCAATGCCTTCCCTGGGAACAAGAATGTTGTGCTTCCTACCAGAAAGGTGGATGTATCACTTAATGTTTAGTTGCAATGTGCTTATTTTGGATGTCACTAAAAAATAATTATTTTAAAACTTGTCTGAAATCTCCCAAGAAATAGAGAGTTACAGTATTTTTCGGATCATTGCTTTCCTGAGCAAAATTTGGGACCCTGATGGAGGGTTATCAGCTTCTTGTTCATCATCCTGTTGCTCTCGTTATGGAATCAGTTTCATCTAACAGGGCAGCCCTTCTATAGGGGCTCCAGATCACTGAGGAAACAGTAGTGTCTGTTATCTGCGTAAACTGATAACTAGTACTATAGTTGTACAATTTCCAGTGTGAATGGTTACTTTCTAATGCCCTTCCCCTCAAGTATCTTGTAATAGATGTTTACATGGCCACTATTGTTACATACATGGTTGCATTTGGGCCAGTAAATACACAAGCGGCTTAGTAATTGCCAGCAATTATATGCAATTCCACTAACCAGAATCTGCCAGCATATACTTTATGAAGCGAACAAAAGAATTTTGACGATACATGTCAGGCATCCTGATAAACACACATCATAGCGCAAAATTTAAATGTTGAAAAGAGCAGAAAAGAGATAATTAAACAAACTTTTGCAGTCTATAAGTTGTAGAATGAATTCTACAAATTGCTTTACATATGATTTTATGCCCAAGATGATAAAACATAAACTGCCAGGCTGTGGTGCTCGCGCATCCTTCTCAATGAGAACACACAATCACGCTGTTCTCCACACTCAAGTCATCACAATCATGTGTTTATTACTGTATGAAGTAACCATCTTCATGTTGTGCTTTCATCTCTTTTGTGAAAGCCATATGAGGTTGTAAGCCTTAAATGCAGATATTTCCTAACCACAAGAAAAAGAGCTTTTGAAATGGGTTACCTGAGCAATTCAGTAGGTTGATTCATGGGCAGGACTATCAGCATGCATATCCATTGAGGAATCATTGGAACTCAGAGGATTGGGATCCCTATTCTGGTGCTGAAGAAAGTTGGATTCGTTGTTCCTAGCACCAGTTCCTGAAGGTAAACCACCATTTGAATAGTAACCTCCCTGTGAAATGTGATAATTCTGAAGACACCGCCGAATGGGGCTTGATAAAGCATTTGAGAAAACTGTATTCTTGGGCTGTTGATCCGAATTTTCTGGACGAGCTCCCTGCCCAGCAATTTGGCCAGACGGGCCTGAAGAGACCATGAAGCTGGTATTTGTGAACTGCATTGCAGGCTGGGAATGCTGTTGTTGTGCTGGTGCTCTAGGTGACATGGTGGGTTCCTCTCCACAGTATTCCAGTTCATTCTGCAAAGAGATGCAGACATGAGGCATGAGGCATGTCTGAAGAATGTGATCATATAATGTAACTGCAACAGGTGATAGAGGATGGTAACCGTTTGACAGCATGAGGCATGTCTAAAGAATGCAACATGTAGGTTTTCACATTTTAAAAGCGAAAGCATGTCCTTGGTATTTGGAAATTATATGCATTCCTGCAGCTGCCTTCTGCCAGCATATGTAGTATCATTTCTTTTTCTGATTTCAACAAGAAAAGGTTTTCAATCATTGTAATATTTTGATTACGCTTATTCACTAAATTGGGTATCCAGCTAACAGGTTTCATCAGGTCAGAGACTCGTGATTAAGGAATGCTACCATTATACAACATTCCAGAACAAGATCAGTATACAATAACTCTCATGTAAACTCCAATACAATACACATGAAATGAAATAGATGCCAAATTAATCCAATTATAGAATCCAAACAATGAGCTAGCCCTTGAGATATCCCCAAATTTAACAAGTGTTGCATCTTATTGTGGCCAGCATTAATACACACACATGTATAAAATGTATACACAAACATAGATATAGATATAAATATCAAAGATGTTGAAAACCATAGTCTATACTAATTCAAGATATAAAGACAGTTCATAGAAGGATTAAGTGAAGTAGAATCAGGGCAAACCTGAAGATAATTGAGTATATCCAATGTCATTACCCTCGACCCTCCCTCTTGTTGTCTCCTTATCCAATTATAAAGTTTTTCCTGAAAACACATTGAAATGCCAAACCATAAAATGTAGAGATTCATTCTAACAAGAAACACCAGAGACATGATACAAATGAGTGAATTAACAAATCAAAAGCAGCAACCCAACTCAAACAAAAGATATGATATAACAGCTAAAAATTTCATTATTGCCTATTCATTATACCTGACAGTGCATCAGCCAGAGGACACCTTAACTTGGCAATAGAATTAATAATTTAATCTCACATTGGATGGCACAAAAGTTATAGGCGGCTTAAACACAATAATTAATGCATAAAAAGAAACTCCTTTGGGAACATAACTAATTTGAAGCACATTAAGTCAGCCTTCTCTAGATGAGCTTATCACTACTGCTAAGACCATATGTCCAGGCATTACATGTTTTTTGTGCATACTTGTGTGTGAGCATATAAAAGAATTAGATTTTGTTGATACTAAAAGAGGACAACAAAGTAATATGACTTCCAGGGAAGTAGTCCGCTTCTAGTTCTATTACTACTTTACAAGTTCCCCAGGATGCCAAAATAACAAAAACTGATCATCCAGGGGCAGCAACCCAAGGGACAATATTCCTGAATGAATCTCTATGCTTTACAGGAACGAAGCACACACTTTTACACTAAAAGGCCAGCAGTTGCTACAGGAACTCAAGTCTTAGCCTTTGAGCAAATTTAATCAGAATCCAAAGAATCTAACCAAAAAGCCACTTACACAATCTGCCTTCGATTACATCAATGGAAAGGTGACAGATGCAGGTTCAAAAACTGTTTACCTTTAAACTAGATTGAAGATGTAACCTTCACTGCGCTCCACCTTAAAGTGTCTTGACTTTTCCATCTGACTTATTACTCTAATTTTTTTTTCCAGCTTTCCTAGCAAGTTGCTGCTCTACCCTATAAGCCAGCCACTTAAGTTAAAGTCAACTATCATTAATCCAAACTAACTCTTGCACTCTTTTTTCTATGATCTACATTGTCTTTGGAATTAAATTGTCTGAGACCAAAGTTCTACCAGCCGCCCATCTCTTTTGAGGCCACAAACATTAATGTCCTCCATCACCAGATCCTTGTTATTAGTCCTCAAAACACAAAACTATCCAGAAAATGGTGCTTCAATGTCCAGGTAAAAGAGGAACTACTGAATTAAAATGTCCACTTAGTAAAACAAAAGCAAAAGGTACAGCAGAATTATCCATTTAAATATCCAAAAGGTAACAAACTAAGAGTAGAAATTAACGTATCTACATACACAGATCAAATTGGTAATTAAACAAAACTCAAAACCACTAAATCCCCTTACTTTATCCTGCAGCGCAATCAACAAAACAACTAAAAAAAAAAAAAAAAGGAAAATCCGTTAGTGAAGAATTTTAAAAACGACGCTAGATAGATCAAAATCAGAGCTTGCATTACCCGTGGCTACATGCAAACATATACATACATCAACAAAGATTCCATTGTGATGCACGTGAAAAATCAGAAACCCAAAACAAGAAAAAGCCAGAGGGAGACGATAATCTTTACCAGGCCATGGCGCTCGCCGGCTTGGAACGAAAGCTTCTGCTGGTTCATCGCCTGGGTGTAGAGTTGGGACAGCGAGTTTGCCGCACTGCAAAACGAGGCGTACATGGTCCGATCCACCTCGTCCAGGCTCGTGGCTATCGACTTCCTCTTCTTCCCCATATTTGGTTCGGTGATTCTCCCCTTGATCGGAGGGCTTAAGGCGATTAATCAAGCGAGAGAATTTTTGGTTATTGTGAAAGAATAGAGAGAGAGAGAGAGAAAGGTGAAGTTTTGCTCTTTAAGAACGTAGGGTGCAGGGAAGGTGCGGTGGAGTTGAGATGTATTTGATAACGTAGAAGCCACATTTTGCACAGTAATTTTTACCTGGATGGATTAGCCCAATTTTTATACTTCTTAAACAGCCCACATTTCTGTTGGGCTTAACACTTAAATTTATAAACCTGATTTTAATGGATTTGGTATGACGGATAGCGAAAGAGGAATCATTCTCTTCCATAAGAGTATTATTATACAAATTGATGTTTGTTTTAGAGGTTAGAGATTAGAGATTAGTTATTAGATTTATTCGAATGATTTATATATTTAAAATTAATATTAATAATAATTAATAATGATTAAATATTAAATATTAAATGTTAATTATATTAAAATAATTAATTTAAATACCTCTTAAAATATTAAGTTTGATGGTAAAAGAAAGATTAAAATATATTTAAATAATTTTATATACAATACTCTGACATTTAAAATGACCAAAAAAAAAAATGTGATTTTGACTTTTCCTCTTTTGTATGAAAGGCTTAAAAATTTTTTTTTTTACAAGGAATGTTTGGCAGTTACACCGTTTATGGGGTAATTATCCTATGAGTATGATGTTTTATAATGGTTAAATACCAGGTTTGGTCCCTTAACTTTCATTTTTAAACCAAATCTACCCTCAAACTTCAAAAAGTACTAAAACTATCCGTGAATTTCAATTTTTGGAACCAATTTGGTCCTTTCATCGATGGAAGTGCCAAATGGCACATTAAATTGTTACGAAATCAATTCTTACTTTAAATCTTTAATAACGTGGAAAATAATTTATCCATCAAGCATTTTTGTTGTTCACGACAAATTCCTGCTATTTCAACCCTTTCCTTTAAATGGGACCCTCATAAAATATGTCTATATTTTCTATATTTTCTATGTTTTCTATATTTCTATTAAATCATATTTTCTCTTTTTACCTTTTACCGTTCATCTTCTCCAGCTTCAGCCTACTTCTTTTGATCCAAATTCCTATTCACCAGCCTTTTTCTCCAACTTTGACCTTCTACTTATCATCTCCCACTGTTCATCTTCTCCAAATTTTCTTCTTAACTAGTCACAGAAAAACTCCTTTCGAGACAAATTCTTGCAAAGGAGAATCCAAACACAACACACACACAACCAACTCATAAAATCCCATTAAAACCCAAATCGAATATAAATTCCTTCAATACAAATTCTTGCACAAGAGAATCCAAACAGAATACACACACAATCAACTCACAAAACCCCATTAAAACCCAAATCGAATACCAAAAAATAAACACACAAAAAACCATAACCCAAATACAAATGAAAATCAATAAATTTAAAATTTTGAAATAAAAAAGATCATAGAAATTTAAAAGATCTACACCAACTTCCTTTCAAACCAAAGAAAGAAAAGAAAAAAAGAAAGCAAATATGTAAAAGAAAGTAGACAAACACCAATCTGGGTCCAATTCTTGAGCTATTGTTCACCAATAATGAGGCTGAAGAACCTAGATCTGAGTTCTCTCATACACCTACCTCATGCTAGCCTCTTACTAGACTCTAATTGATATCTTGCCAACCTCATGCTTGCTTTTCATCAATCTCTTGTTGGAATGCAAATTGATGTGGAGAGAAAGAGAGCCTACAAACCTTAATCCTAAATCAATTGAGCCAGCAAACCCTAATATGTTGCTAGGAAGTAGATACTAAAACCAAATCTATTCGATCAACTCTCTCTTTCGTGTGTGAAAATCACAAACAACGCAAGATAATGAAAAAGGGAAGGATTCACCACTAGTTGTCCCATTTTCCTTCTAGTGATCTCACGGTGATCATGTGTTGATTGGTAGTTAAAATCACCACTAATGGAGAAGAAAGGAGAGGGAGAGGAAGAGGGAGGTGGAGATAAAAAAATTGAAGAGGAGGAGAAATGAAAAGGCAACAAGTGGAGAGAGAGGTAAGAAGTTTTTTTTTTTTTTGAAAAGGTAAGAAGTTGGCTTAGATGGATATTAGATTTATTTTTGGTTTCTAGGTTTCTGGGTTGAGCATATTTATATATGCTAGAGATGGTGATCGGAGGGGTAAAGGATGACTGGAGCAATGAGAGATGATCAATGCTAAGTGGGTTGCAGGATGAAGAGGCATATAAGGATAGAGAGAGACGAGAGGGAGAAAAGAGGGGTTGGAAGATGAAGATGGGGGTATTTAAGTAATTTAAAATTTTTTAATGTTAATTAAAATGACATGGAGAACAAAAATGCCATAATAGGTAAGTTATTTTCCATGTTATTAAA